CTTCATATTAGTGACAGGCTTTGGCTTTTTTTTTTTATTTATTTATTTTTTTTTTGATGGATTACCTTCATTTTTTGCTTCTACTTTTCATTTAAAATAACTTTCCATTTTCAGCAGGTAGCTAAGGTTCTTCTTCTACATATTAAAAAGGTTGTTAAACATCTGAGTGGCGCACTACTGCTACTAGTGGTGAGAAAGTGTATTGCACATTATTCAAAATCAATGCGGTCCCGCAGCACTCTGCRSCCCAAAGTTAAAAACTGTTGATCTTTTGAGGCCCTCAAGGTGGTGCTGTGGGCCGCGGCCCATAGGTTAAGAATCTCTGCTTTAAACGTAGATCCAATTATTCTTTTCTGAGAGTTTCATTTATATCCATTCAGTGGTTTATGTGTTATTTTGCTAACAGTACAGACAAATTAACACACGGAAATAGGCAAAAACATTGTCRCCCCACTTTTGCCTATTGGCAGTGGGAGATGGGTTTATTGTGTCTTTTTACATTCAGTAATGCCTTCAAGGAATTAGACCATCTCCACCATGTGCCACTGGAATCTGCAGACACTTCGAGGACAGTTCACCAAAATAAATAAATAAATAAATAAATAAATAAAATAAAGCTACTTTTATAAATAAATTTGAAAAAGGTTGTTTTTCAGCAGATCAGCTCTGACCTCCACAGAGCAGAACAGCTGTACTGCTGTCAGTGGCTTCACATGTTGTATTCATGACTTTTTTTCCTGCATCTTCAGGAAAGCCTGGAAACATCTGCTTTCACACGTTTTCCTGCAAATATCTTTGTGATCCTGAGGATTTCAGCTTGTCTTTCCCTCTGATGACTCTTGTCACATCGACTGCAAAGTTTTAGGTTGAAACGATCACTTTTTAAAACAAAAAGTTCAGACTGTTTCCTTCAACAACTTTGTTTCTGGTTTAATTTACGGATTTTTGCTTCAGCCTGCGTGTTGGCCCTGCTTTGACTCATGCATTGGTTTATATTCTGACAAATAAACATGTTTCTTTTTGATAATTTATTCCTCTGGAAAAAWTTTTATTTCTGTTTGGTAATTAATATTCCAAACTTTATCTGTTTGGGAGACAAATATGTAGAAATCTAAATTAAACAATGACACCTAAATGCAAATGCAGATAGACAAATAACGTTAACTGTTTTTGTTTACCATAAAAATCTCATTTATTATAACCTGTAAATGCAGAAAACTGGTCATAAAAATATTTAAGGCATATTTTACAAAAAGTTTTCATTTTAATCAGCAACTTACAAAAATTGAAATGTTTAGACTCTATCGAGCTCTTGGATGTTTTAAGTTGCTGAATATTTTAGCACTTTCTTTTTCACGTCTGCTTTTCTGTTCTCAGTGTCTAAGTTTTGTTTGTGTTGCTCGTCTTTTCAGTTCAGTTCCCTTCTTCCTGTTTACTCCTGCCCACCTTTCAGACAGAGGACACGGTCACAAGGAGTGTCCAGTCTGTGGGTCGACTCGACAATTAATATTCACTTCATGGAAAGCAAAGTTTTAGACGAAAGGTCCTTTTAGGCCAAAAATCTTCCTGCTTTTTTGTTTTACTTCTTTGTGTGTGTGTGTGTGTGTATATATATATATATATA